GCAGGAAGTCAGCTGGGGTCAAAGGATCCCAGCAAGGTAAACATCCAAATGTCTCTTAAAGGAATCCAGAATAGGTGCTTGCACCACCTCTGGAGGCAGTCTGTTCCAGGCCTTAGGGGCTTGGACAGTAAAGAAGTTCTTCCTTATGTCCAGCCTGAAATGGTTTTGGAGGAGTTTGTGACTGTTTGACATTGTTGTCCCTTGGGGTGCTCTGGTGAACAGATCCTGATGTACACCCCTTATATACTTATAGGTAGCTACCAGGTACCCCCTGAGCCTGCACTTTTCCAGGCTGAAGAGCCCCATGGCTCTCGGGCTCTCTTCATAAGGCCCATTCTCCTGCCCTCTGATCATGCGCGTGGCTGTCCTCTGGACTCTCTCAAGCTTCTCCACATCCTTTTAAAATTGTGGAGCCCAGAATTGGATGTAGTACTCCAGCTGTGGCCTCACCAAGGCTGAGCACAGTGGGAGGATGACATCCTGAGATTTGCTTGAGAAGAATGTACGGATGCAAGCCAGAGTTCTGCAAGCTTTACCAGCTGTGACCTTGCATTGGTGGCACATATTCATCTTGTGGTCAGACATGATCCCCAAGTCCCTTTCGGCCATGGTGCTAGCAAGCGTAGCACTGCCAAGCCTATAAGTGTGCTGCAAGTTTTTTTTCCCAAGGTGGAGTACTTTGCATTTTTCAGTGTTGAACGCCATCAGGTTTTCATCCGCCAATTTTCTGGGCCTGTCTAGGTCGGCCTGGATCACCATCCTATTGTCAGGTGTGGACGCTTTACCCTAAAGTTTGGTGTCATTGACGAACTTGGCCAGTCTGCTTCTGATACCAATATATACATCATTAGAAAGATGTTAAAGAGTTCAGGCCCAAGGATGAAGTCTTGGGGGACCCCACTGGTTATGGTGCACCATGATGATTTACTTCTGTCTATTACCATTCTCTGGGTCCGACCTTGGAGCCAGTTCTCCAGCCATCAGACTGTGATGTAGCTGAGGCCACAGTTGGCCAATTTTTCTGTAAGGAGATCATGGGACAGCAGATTAAAGGCTTTTTAAAAATCAAGAGATATGATGTCAATCTCTTCTCCCTTGTCCAGGTGATGTCACCTGGTCATAGAAAGAGATGAGATGGGTCAGGCAAGACCTACCCACAACAGACACATGCTGGCTATCCCTCAGGATGTTGCTATCAGCCAGTTTGTAAAGAATGGTCTTTTTGATAATTTTTTCCAAGATCTTCCCTGGGATAGAGGTCAGGCTGATAGGCCTGTAGTTCCCCAGATCTGCTTTCCTCCCTTTCTTGAAGATAGGCACTACATTGGCCTTCTTCCAAACTTTGGGCACTTCACCTGAGCGCCACGAGTTCTCAAAGATTTGTGCCAGTGGCTGAGCAATGATGCCTGCCATCTCCTTAAGTACCTTGGGGTGTAAACTATCTGAGCCAGCTGACTTGAAGGTGTCCAGCCTCTCAAGGTGTTCCTTCGCATTGTCTACATTGATGTAGGGTAGCAATTCTCCCTCACCCTGGCCATCCCCTACTGCATTGAGCAGGGCTGTCCCTTGGGGCTAGTGAAAAACAGATGCAAAATACCCATTCAGCAGGTTGGCTTTTTCCTGGGCGTCAGTTGTCAGTTGTCCCATTTGGTTTAGCA